ATGCACGATGACAGTACTTTACTTATGCCAAAGTAATAACCTAACTCAATAAAAAACGGATCATATAATTAACAACTAAACGCATATTTTCTACGTTGCATGTTTAAGCTTTGTTAATCAAATTAACGGAATATAAAAATATGCACGCAGAAAACAACGTGAAAACGATACAGGTATAATATTACAACAACACACATATTTTTCATTATTATTGTCAGCTAACAACGTGTTTTCGTTCCCATAAATAAACATTTTGCACGGTCAAGTTCGAAGTATTGTTTTTACGAATAAAAAAAAGCATAATTTATAATCTTCATTACAATATTTCATTTTGAATGTTTCTCTTTTATAAAATACGTTTTGTGAGTCAACAATGAAAGTTGAAATTATAATAACAAAGTAGGTACTCGCTTTCTATGCGGTTGGCCCAATGAGAAAACTCAAAACATAGAATCCTATGGTATAATTATAGGCAGCTTATATCGTAATAGTTAAAGTCGAGAAGTTTTTTTTTGCACATCAAAATATCACTTTAAGTAAATTTATTTTTGTTTAAACTACATTATGCATCTTCATCACAAAAATAACGAAAAAATTCAGTGCGAAAATCTGACACACGATCATTTTTTTTTCTTTTACCCTACCCATGCTGATAGCCTTGAGAGGCTATTTCAGCTTCTCCTTGACGTGTAGGTAAGCTCACGAGGCTCAAACCGGGAGTGTTGCTAACACTGGCCCTAGCAAGAGCAGCGCTTTGCGGAATCTACCACCGGATCGGAAAGGCGATCCACTGAGAAGATCCGGCGAGAAACTCAACAGTGCAGTAACCGGATTCCGGAGGGGCCAATTGTCATTTTAATTGTTTTAATTATTCAACTGATGAAATCAGTAATTACGTGTTTAGGGCACACAATCATATTCCCTGTAAGTAATTCAATATGATTCCTAAGAACTGTTTTCATTCATTAATGCATCTAAAGGTTTTTTCAAAACTATTACTTTAAAAATGGTTCTTTTGGAGTTTAAATAATGTATTGATTAGTTCATATAGATAAAAACAATATTTTGATTTTTAGTTTGGAGTAGAATATACTTTTATTGCACATAAAATTAGTTAAATTACAATAATAAAATAATAAAAATGTGCTTTAAAATACATACCTACTCATACATATTACAATCAGTTAATTTTATTGATCAAACCAATTTCTTCCAGACAGACAATGAACAAAACCAGATATAATATCAAAACAATTTAGTCTATTGCAACAAGAAAAACTGTTAAAAAATAAATTAAGAGTTATCTGAATGTGCATTTCATACATTTATAAATTCATAGACGTAAAGAAGAAATTAACTATTAACTAGCCATGACTTGAGCATGCAACTTGTTTCATGATTTGATTCACTCTAGATACTGTCCATTTGATTGACATAAAAATTGCAATATTTCTTCTTGAAGTATATGTAATAAAAACAACATTTCATAATGAATAGTTTCTCCTCTTTCACAGTACTTGACCAACTTCAAGTAAAAAATTATAATGTGAAAATGTTAATAATAATAGTTGTAAATTTCTAAAGATATCTACTGTTTTGTTAGTAGTTATGGGAGGTAGTTTTTAGTGAAAACTAATCACACTTACTGTTGATCAGTGCATTAAAATCACCCATTTGCTAAAACTACACACACCACTGCATGTTGATTTACAAGATTACAAGCCTCTCTAGTTCTCTCTACAACAACTTATAGTTTCAACTAAAACCATTAACAGGTCAATAAATGCTTTGTTCGCAATCAACCTTACTTTCCATCATATTTATCCTTATTTTTGCTTTGGTTGAATTTGATTTATTTAACTCTGCTCTGAGATGTGGTTTCATGAATTGTTTGAAATGATCCCATCACCTTGTTTTTACCATCACACCTCCCTCCACCAGAGCAGAGTTCATCCATACTACCTGGGGCCACTGTATTCCCTGAGTGACGATAACCACTCACCATCAGGTGAGCCTTGTGGCTCTTCTGCATACAAGAGCAAGAAAAAAAACTCCTAAAACGAATGAAACCTAACCATTCATGAAAACAATTGGCATGCAATTGACATTTCATAGTAGTACTATACTAGAAACCTTCTGTGAAGTTCAAAGAACAACTGTACATATATCTAAATCTATCAGAAAAAAATTACAAATTAATTGAAGACAAATGTATCAACCAATCAATATGGTCACTGAAAGCTGCACTGGCTGTATGTACATGTAATATCAGCAGTCTGTAGTAATTAAAATGCTACTGAACTTCAGCAGTACTGTTCTGAAATATTATTTTTGCTGTCAAAAACAAACAATCAAACACCCAACTTGATTGTTAGATAAAGCTGCTGTAATGAAGTGTCATTACCAGGTTTGGTCTGCCCTTAATTCCCTTAAACATTGCCTGAAGAGGGACATATCGTAATCCTGAGAAAATACTCTAGAGTTCATTCGAGTATATTACAGAATGAAAAAAATTACCTTTATAATCTTCTTTATGTTTTGGGAGACCTTTGGTATGTGTGAACTTTAAATATTTTAAAATTATCAGTTTAAGTTTTTTGATGTTTAGTAAATTCTGTTTGTGGTAATCAAGGAATGTTTGATGACTCATTTATTTTATCCATCCATTATTTGATACCTTTATTTCATGTTTAGCTGTTGTCGGAATATAATCGGTGATTTTATATTTATTATTCACATATGGCTATATATATTTTTAGGTATGCTTCATTTGTAAATAAACGTTGGTCCGACCAGATCCGCACCGCTCTTGATTTCACGTTTCACAACGCCCTCCACACCACCAGAGACAAGAATGGATGAAGAAAAATCGTGCGTGCGAAGGTGATACAAAAGGGTGGTCACGACCCTCAGCAATGAGGAATACGACGCAAGGAGAAATATCAAATATTTTTTTTTACAAATGCTGGTAAATCTTTATTCAGCATCATAGAAGACAGAATGAAGAGAAATGACATCATCAATAATACAATAAAACTCACGGTTCTGGACTGTATTGGGCACCTCCGAAAAAACCGTGTCTGTCCGGTTGGGTAGTCACCGATGAACATATTGATGTGGTATCCGCCTGCTCGCTTCGATCTCCTGAACTCTTCACGCTCTTCTGTAGAGACATCTTATTATTCTTCCTCACTTCTTCTGTATTCTTCTACGATAGACCATCACGCACAAAACACACCCACAACACCACCGCCGCCGTCGTGTGGGCGTACGAATAATTACAAAACACAGTTCCGCCCGTAAAAACCGCCGAGACAAATTCACCAAACAAGTGGCACAGAGAAATGTCGAGTGTTCGTATACTGCAAACACAGCCGCATAGTCGAAGACAATCGCAGTTTGCGAATAAGGCCCGCAGACGTGCTGAGAATAAACATAAACTTTTAATTTCTTATCAAACACTCTACGTGTGGGTGGGCAAATTTGGTCAGATTACACATACGTCATATTTGATTGACTAGGGTTTGACTGCTTGACTGCTGATTAAGACTAGGGTATATCTATCTAGGTTTGTTGTTCTGACCAATGTTGATCTGATATGACATCAACTTAACCGAATTAAAATCGATTGGGAAATGCAAAATGTCATTCTCACAATATCACTGCAAGGGTAAATTAAAATAAGACATGACTTAAAAGTCTTAGTTACCAGATCATAAAATCCCTATAAAAAATCAATGAAGAGAATCAATTTTATTTTCCACTAAGTAACAATTCACTACGCGAATGTAAGTCGTGATCTTATTCATAATATTAAACTTAATCTCGTATCAGACTGGCAAAAGCAATGGGAGACCTACAAATATCAATATTCTAAAAGAAATCCTAGTGTCTTTATCAAACCTTGGTTTTATAAGTTCAAAAAATTCAACAAGCAAATAACTAGTGTACTTATCAGGCTTCGATTGGGTCACTTTTGCTCACCACAATTTTTATTTAAGCTAAAAATTAAACCTTCTCCTATGTGTAGTTGCGGTAAATCCATCGGTACTTTAGATCATATCTTTCTGGAATGCGCTCTTAATGATGAATGCCCACCACTATATTGTTTACTAACTAACACTAACATCCTGTTCCCAGTTAATATGAACTATCTCTTAACATTCCCTAATCCTAAAGTTGTAAATGCACTAGCTTATTTTATTTCCCGCAATAACATTAAACTGTAAAAATATTTACAAATTTTTCTCCAGTTCTCATTCATCTCATCTGCTACAATCTATATCTATCTATATCACTGATATTCTATCTACCTGACATTGGCAGAGTCATTATTCAAACGATGAATAGGTATTTCACTTGAAATAAAGGACCTCTCGATTACTTAAAAAATTAACAAAACTCCAATGAGAAAATAAAATGAATTATGAATTGTTCAAGAATTGCGTAAAAGTGTGGATTGGAAACGAAACAATAAATGAATATCTGATAAACAGACTCCTCCACTGTTCAAATTGTAAATAATTAATTACAAATATTATTACAAAAGATCCTGTTACACCCCCCCTGGCAAATTCAACACCACTTCGAAGCTACACTCCCCATTCTATCCAATTCGGCAAGGACGCATTTTTTAACGGCTGGACAATACATTTCTTCATTGGTGCAGGTGTCGCTTTTAAGCCCACTGAGTTTCTCGCCGGATCTTCTCAGTGGCTCGTGTTTCATATTCGGTGGTAGATTCTGCGAAGCACTGCTTTGCTAGGGCCAGTGTTAGCAATACTTGTAGTTTGAGCCCCGTGAGCTCACCTACACGTTCGGGTGAAGCTGAAATAGCCTCTAAGCATTGGTAGGAAAAAAAAAGTTTTTAAGTTTTCGTTGCAAAAGACATGGCTGTATGGAATATGTATGCTTTGCTTGTCGAATCGACAAATAAACGGAAAAGAAAAGAACGAATAATAAGTGTATAATCTATGAATAGAATTTTAGGTTATGTTATGAATTGTTATGCAGTGAGAGGACCGTAACAAATATCAGTACTATTTTAGACACTACTTTTTCTTGATACAAAAATGAATTTCATTAGGACAGTACCATTCGTTCCACAAATGACAAGATTGAGTTCGACAGCCAATGTTGAATTCGTAAATCGAAATCCAAGAAATTTAGAACGGATGCGAATAGCCAGAAAACCGGATGGATATCACTTAGAGAAACCTGGAAGGAAATATTGGCACAAGTTTGTAACTAAAACAATGTCATTTTCTTATTGACTATCTCAGATAGACAGGCTGACCTTTTCGTATCTTTTGTCTGACTCAGCGAACGTGCTCACGTCGTAGTTAAATAACCGGAGCCCATGGCTAGTATCGTGAATGCCGCTATACACCTTGAGACGTGAAGACGGTGACTCGACTGTCCTAACGACTGTCTCACTGCAGACCAAAATCCATTAATGCAGGATTTTTTTTCTGCAGGAACAGACTAGATCATGGTACCTATCTGAGCGTGCTTACAATACTCCCTACCTACAGTAAAATTTATATTAAACAGTCACATAACATTGAAGGCTCGTAAAATGTCTCGAAAAAAACTGTCTGCTCATAAAGAAGAGACACTGTAGCTCATTTTACCAACTTGAATAGATCTGTTGCTCACCCAACATGCTAGTTATGGTATTTATGGCCGGAGTTCTTGTCTCTTTGTTCTTACTGATATGTACAATGTTATGAATTCTTTGGGATTGCTTAAAACTACTATACAATTTTATAAACTCTGTACACATGAGGCTCGTGGACGGCATTAAGCATTAGGCAGCAGGCAGCAGCTTGGCTCTGTCCTTGGCATTGCTGATGTCGATGAACGATGATAACCACTTACCATCAGGTGGGCCGTATGCTCTCGTCTACCTGCTCAGGCAATAATAAAAAAATACTGTGGTACCCACCTGTCCAAGTACATTTCATATCATTAATCCTTTCAATTTATCATTTTTTAGATTAATTTTGACACCTGGAAACCGTTCAATAATAGCCAAAGTAATTCATTTTCTCAATGGCCCTGTTGTGGAGGTGAAGACTTCAGAGTGGGCATTACAGAAACAATTATACAGCCCCACAGATACCTGTGCGTACATCAGCCTTGGGAAAGTTTTGGCACAAAGATGCTTAGAATTTGGAATTACTGAAATGTACTGTGATCTAGAGCCTCAAAAGGGCGGGAAAGCTGAGAAATTCTTAGAGGAAGTGGTGAAGGGAGGAATTACACTACAAGAGCCAGAAGTATATAAAAAACCAAACCCTTGGGATCAGTTCAGGCCTGAAAAGCCATGGGAAGTTCATGATGAATAAGATATTTATTATTTTAATTAGTTCTAGATAATAATTTGCTAGTTTTAGCCTTGTTAATTGTAGGATTGAATTAATAAAATAAGAAATTTCAATTTCGCACCTTTCAAATTTTGTAGAACAAATCAGTAACCTTTCTGTAACATTACTTGTAGTTTTAGTTAATATTTATTTAGATTATAAAGATATGAGTTGTTTTCAATAATTTATTTGATAATTAATCAATGTTTGGAAATGGTGAAGGGTTGGGAGAATTAGTTACTAAGTGCATATATTATGTGAATCCACAATACTAACACAATGTATTATTATGTAATGTTACGAGGACACTTTTTTCCTCAAAATTCAAAATTCAAAATCATTTATTTCAACTTAGATGTCAGCATGACACACTTGTTGAATTTCAAAATACAAATAACAATGTTAACTCTACCACCGGTTCCAAAAAAAGCCACAGTCCTGAGAAGAACCGGCGAAACAAACTCAGCGGGCTTTTTTTTTGTTTTGTTTTTTCTCAAATATTTTGATTGTTTGATTGTTGGATTGGTTGGATTTGATATATGGTGGTATGTCTTGTGAGTCGCTAGATACCACCACCTTGCCTGTTTCTTGTGTGAAGCAGTAATGCCACGTATCATCTGGCTATGGAATGAGCTCCCCTCCACGGTGTTTCCCGAGCGCTATGACATGTCTTTCTTCAAACAAGGCTTGTGGAGAGTATTAGGCGGTAGGCAGCGGCTTGGCTCTGCCCCTGGCATTGCTGAAGTCCATGGGCGACGGTAACCACTCACCATCAGGTGGACCGTATGCTCGTTTGCCTACAAGGGCAATAAAAAATAAAAATGCGTTTCGGTTTGAGGGGCGGGGCAGTCCTTTTACTTTTAAAAGTGAGAACTTCGAACTCATGTCTCAAGGTGGGTGGCGGCATTTACATTGTAGATATCTGTGGGCTCCAGTAACCACTCAACACGAGGTGAGCCGTGAGCTCGTCCACCAAGCTAATCAATAAATAAAAAAGCTTATTCACATAAAAGTAGGTTTTTTAATGCTGGTACCTTATCATCCGGCTCAACTGGAACGCTCGAGAAGTACAACTCCATCTATTGTCAGATAACGGAAACAGACATCGAAAGTACTCAACTTGTGAGAAATGTTCTCGACGATTCTAAGGATGCCGTATCGACCATAAAAGCGTTGCAGAGATGGCACACAGTCAGGAACGTCATTAGGTTTGAGCTCCGTGGCTCTCAAGGCTCTCAAGGCTATCAGCTTAAGTAGGAAAAAAAAACCACGCAGTCAGTCAGTAATCGGAACTACTCGAAGCGAAACAACGAACGGATCACCTGAAGCGAATTGAGAATTTTAAAGTGTTCTGTCTGTGTTCTAAGTGATTAATACAGTTTTAAGTTGTACTGGGTGGAGCATTTATCCCGAACCCCATCAGTATAATAAAAAGTTTACGATTGACTTCCACGGTGAAGGAATAACATCGTGTAATAAAAATGAAATCCACAAATTATAATTTGCATAATTACTGGTGGTAGTACCTCTTGTGAGTCCGCGCGGGTGGGTACCACCACCCTGCCTATTTCTACCGTGAAGCAGTAATGTGTTTCGGTTCGAAGGGTGGGACAGCCGTTGTAACTATACTTGAGACCTTAGAACTTATCTCAAGGTAGGTGGCGCATTTACGTTGTGAATGTCTATGGGCTCCAGTAACCACTTAACACTAGGTGAGCTCGTCCACCCATCTAAGCAATAAAAAAAATATTGAAAAATTGGTACCCATTGCATCGCAGATACGAATAAGATAGATTCTATACGAATGCACCGGACGTGATAAACTTTAGGCCACGACGACTTGCAGAATAGTCTAGTCTATGCATACCTTACGTTTTGTCTATGGAGGGTTCTACCCTCCATAGTTTTGTTAAATGTCAAATAGATTCAAGATTTCATTTTAATACTAATTATGTTAGCTTTCATAAACCCTGATTATATATAACAAAGTAAACTATAAATAAACGACGCATATTTAATCATACTACATAAAGCAATAATATACCGTTTTTAATTAAATTTTATCCTTTTTAAAATAAATAAGGATGCTAGGTCATCGAAAATAAAATGGCGGAAAAAAATGGCGTCCAGTTCTTTTTAGAACCCTGTCTTTTATATAGGCATCTCTTTTCAATACACTGCAAAGTCCATAAGGCTAGGGAGTAGGAGCGCGCACGCGTCGTGATCAATAAGTCCACGTGATCTGTCGTCACTTCGTCGAAACTCGCGTAATTGNCTTTTTAAATTAAATAAGGATGCTAGGTCATCGAAAATAAAATGGCGGAAAAAAATGGCGTCCAGTTCTTTTTAGAACCCTGTCTTTTATATAGGCATCTCTTTTCAATACACTGCAAAGTCCATAAGGCTAGGGAGTAGGAGCGCGCACGCGTCGTGATCAATAAGTCCACGTGATCTGTCGTCACTTCGTCGAAACTCGCGTAATTGCAAAATGCAAAATGAGTAGGAAAGAAACGTTTTTGTTACAATGAAATCACAAATATTTTTCCATTGAAAGTTTAAGTGTTGTGTGTTATAAAATGCCAGCGTCAATCGGCGTTAATTTACGCGTGACGGGGCATTGTAGCCAAGGCGGGAGAAAGTACATGGAAGATTTGTTTTCCGTTGCTTATCAACAAACTGAGGATGAGCGGGATTTAGAGTACGCTTTTTTCGGCATTTACGACGGACATGGAGGCAGCGAAGCCGCAGCGTTCGCCAAAGAACACCTAATGGATTCAATTGTAAAACAGCGACAATTCTGGTCGGACAACGACGAAGATGTTCTAAAAGCCATCAGAAATGGTTATATGCTGACCCACTTGAACATGTGGAAAGAGCTAGGTAAACAACTCTTCTTGAAATTTATATGTCTTTCTGTTTAGGTAGAGAGCAAAGGTATTACCAGGTGATTGTACAACATATTTGGCTTGACCTTGTTAAAAGTTCTTAGTACCTACTTTTTTTGATGATTTGACATTGAGGCACCAAAATTGTTTCTACCTATTGTTTTGATGGTAATAACGTGATGATGTTGTATGAAATTCCACACTATAAAAACGATAGTAAAAGGTTTGCGTAATTTTGGAAACTCCGTCATCGGTGAAAGCAGTTTATCAAGTATCGAGGGGATTAATTCAGGTTTCCTCTTACGAAAATATATTTGTGTAAGGTCTACTACTGCTGTAGATAAACATACGAATAGTTTAAATATATTAATTAGAAAGGGGTCTATTAATGTTTTTGTATTTTAAAAGTACTTAAATGCTGAAATAAAAAACAAAATAAATTATATAAATGTTTGCATAACATGCTAATTTAATATAAACACATTAGTAGTGCAATTGTGATGTTTAATATGCTGGTTTGTAAAATAAGTCATTGAAAATATAAAATATTGTTTGACTTCAATATCAAACAGCATTTATTAGTCCATCGGGCTGGGATCATTTCAAATACAACATGTCAATGATTGATGTCCTCCAGTTGAAATTGTCTCAAGTTCACAGTTATTTGGAATGTAAATTATAATTGAATGCTACATTTTTTCAGAAAAATGGCCTAAGACAGTGACAGGCTTGCCAAGCACAGCAGGCACGACAGCCAGTGTGGCTTTTATTAGACGAGGAAAAATATATGTTGGACATGTCGGCGATTCGGCAATCATACTTGGTTACCAAAAAGAAGGTACTATAAAGCTTTTTTTCTCACCTATTCTGGTAACCTCGATGGGTTATACTAGATTTAACGAATTAGTAAATTGCAAATTTTTTCAAAACCTCAATTCATTGTGAAGTGACTGAAATTAAGTAGTACTCTTAACAGTTATAATTTCTGATCCTTTATAATGTTTTTCATGTTTTAAATCTATAATGCAGATTTTTGATACAAAAATTGGAAAACGATTAGTGAATATATCTGTTCTCTGTCTATGAATTGTGTTCTTAAGGTAATGAAATACTATACTAAATAAAGATAAAATGCCACATCTCAGGTTCAGAAGAATGGGCTGCAAAACCTCTAACATTAGATCATAAACCAGAATCAACAACAGAGATCGAAAGGATACAAAGGTGTGGTGGTAAAGTGGTCTCCAAAGCTGGTGTTCCTCGGGTTGTATGGAACAGACCACGACCTGGACACAAGGGACCAATAAAAAAGAATACACCAATGGACGAGATACCTTTTCTTGCTGTTGCGAGATCACTAGGGGACTTGTGGAGTTATAATCCTCAGAATGATGAGTTCATAGTCAGTCCAGATCCTGATGTTGGGGTTCTTACTATTGATCCTACAAAATTTCGGTAAGGTCTTTTTTATGTTTTTTACCCTAAGTTATTTTTTGTAAAGATTATTATTAAATAAAGTTAACTGTACTCGATAGTATTCTTGATGTAAACCGGTCAACTGGATGAGTTAAAAAACAAATCTTTTTTCAACGACATGTTAATGAGTTCACGGCCCATCTGGTGTTAGGTTATTAAGTAGATTCCATACACATAAACATGTGAATGCCACTGCCCTTGAGACAGTGGCATTCACATGTTCACTGGTGGTAGGACCTCTTGGGAGTCCGCACGGGTAGGTACCACCACCCCGCCTATTTCTGCCGTAAAGCAGTAATGCGTTTCGGTTCGAAGGGTGGAGTAGCGGTTGTAACTATACTGAGACCTTAGAACTTATATCTCAAGGTGGGTGGCGCATTTACGTTGTAGATGTCTATGGGCTCCAGTAACCACTTAACACCAGGTGAGCTGTGAGCTCGTCCACACATCTAAGCAATAAAAAAAAAAGACATTCACATGGCTATGGTTTGGCTTAGATTATCAATACCCTATTGCGTCCTATCGGTGTCATAAAAGGGAATCACCAGAGAATGGGCAGTAATACTCTTTATGAATATTATACGAACAAACTGAGATGACTGATGGTACGGTGGGTGGTAGTCACTTCTGTAATGAACATTACTATTATAATATCAAAGTGATGTTTGTCTTTCAAAATCATACTAATGTTATGGTTGTAAATGCTCTGGCTGTTTTTTGTGTAGATTTATAATCATTTATCAATTTTATGTTTTACACATTACTTTTGATACAGAAAAAGTATTCTTAATATTAGTACTCTCTAATTTTACACATAAAAAAATCCATAAAGGTTTTTATATTTAATAATTATGCGATAATGTTTCAGGTGTCTTATTTTTGGTACCGACGGCTTATGGAATATGATATCACCCGAAGGTGCTGTAAATTTAGTTCAAGCCACAGAAAAGCATAATGAGGCTGCATTAGTTGGTGGGAATAGCAATCAACCTAGGGATTGGCTTAATCCATCAAAAAGCCTTGTCGATCATGCATTAGAGAGGTAAAGTCATGATTACTTTAGTGTTCTCTAATAATAAACTTAGTTGTGTTCTTCTGTTTCCATGCCCATGGAAACCCAATGTTGTGAAGTCAGAAGAGGGGAACAGGGGACCATAAAAAATACATGGATTACATGGATACAATTACGTGTATGTAAATGTAGTGAGAGTGCGCATGTAATGATAAGAGTAACATGTGTTGCACTGACATCTGAAATGGTAAAGGAGAAAACGATTGAAACCTTTGTAATCAAAATTCATTTAATAAATCTTTAAATTGATCATCATCTCAGACTATAAGTATCAACATCTATTTGTAATACTATGTTTAATATAATAATAATATTTTATAGGTGGTCTAATACCAGAATGAGAGCTGATAATACATCAGTAGTGACACTAATGTTGGACCCGCCGGGACCACCGCGTGCCACCGTGCTGCGGTCTCGCAGTGCCGCGCCCCGAGCCCCGGCCGACCCCGCGCCCCGCACCGACCCCGCGCCCCTCCCCGACCGACCCGTGCCGCAGAACGGACTCACCATCATGACGCGCTACTCCGACGCCGACCGCACCGCCGCGCCCCTGCCCCCGCTCCCCCCCTGCGCCACGCTCGACACCCGCCTCTCCGTGGCGCCCACAGACGACGCCGCCAGCGCCGCCAGTCCCGCCGGCACAGCTTCCGCCACTGAAGACACCGATACAATCACTACGTATGGGAATCCAGCTGAGTCGTACTTTATGGCGCGCCTCCTCAATCGCACCAAAATAGTCAATTCTCTCGCTTCCGTCCCCGAAGAACTCGCACACGTCGAAATCCCCCCGTCGGAGACGCGCGAGACGACGCCGCCGGCGACGCGCCTGTCCGTGCCATCGCCGCCGCCGGTGTCCGACGTCGCATCTGTTGCTCCCGTCGAACCGAGAGAGCCCTCTCCCCAGCCCTGCGACCCAGACGAGGTTGAAGACAGTGCTCCGCCCGACGATGGCTGCATTCAAATCAATGAAGTGTCGTCGAGTTCTCCTACGGAAGCCCCGCCCAGGCAACGCGGTCGCCGTTCCCGCGCCGACCTTCGTCCCGACGAACCGCCCGTCGCCAACGACCGCGTGCTGCGGTCACATAACGACGCGGAACCACCGCCCCGGCCGAATACCCGGCAAACCGCTACAAGAAGTAAAGGAAACACAGTTTCCCTAGACCGTGTCGTCATTCTGACGCGTCGTGCGCAATCGCAAACGACGCCAGTCCCGAACAAAACTGAACCGCGTACACCTGCCAGGAAGGCTCAGAGCGGGTCCGATGAAACTGTACCGGTAGACGAAGAGGCCGCGAAGGGAGCCAGAATGACGAGATCACAGGGTGGCACTGCAACTCCTCTAGCTCAAAAGATAACCCGCAGCATCGGTGCGTATGCGCGGGAACTGCGGGGAGCGGCTGTGGCGGCGGCGGCGGCGGCGGGCGCGCGGGCGGGAAACTCGGCGCGCGCCCCGGGGCCGGCGCGGCGGACCCCGGCGGCGCGGCGGCAGGGCGCGCGCTCCAAGGAGAACCTCGGCGCAGGGAGGGACCGCGCCCCCGTCCCCGCCGCGCCACCCGCCTCCCGCCCGCCGCGCCGCCGCGCTTCCGCTGATGAGGTGCACTCCACTACCTCGGAGCCGGCAGCTTCCCGTCTGGAGGCCCGGGCGCTCCGGTCACGCAACGAGCCAGCGCCACCTCCAAACAAGCGGGCCCGGCGCGAGACTGCGTCGTATAAGGCGGCCGTGGAGCGGGTGGCGCGGGGGCTCGGCAAGCGCGCGTCGGGTCCGTGGGCGCCGGCGCTGTCGCTCCGCAACCGTCTCCGGCGCCGGCTCGTCAAGTAGCCGCAGAAGCCAAAGAAGCCCCTCGTGTCCGTCGAGCGTCCATAGCGACTCCGCAACTATAGTACAAACGAACACGTAGAACGTTTACTCGTAAGTTAACCGCGTGGACCAGGAGCGTTAGGTTAGTCTAGCTAATATTTATTTTCACCTTATTTTTAGCTTCTGTTCTGATGCATTTAATTTAAGACGGATAGTGAATCTGACATCAACGCGGAGACGCGAGAACCTCTCGGGGGCGACCGCCCGTGTACGATGTGACTGTTATTATTTTCAAACGCATATATGAAAACAATTCTAATTAAAATTAGTATACATATTTGGTTTATTGTAAAAATTTAGGATTAGACCACGAGTGCTTTCTCCATACTAATAATTAAGAGTGCTAATAAATTGAGTAGTTGTACAAAATAATGTAATGAATTTATGATCACCAAAATTTACGTTCTACACCGTTATGTATACCGTTTTCCGCTGAATAGACAGCGGACAAGTTATTCTTTTACGAAAAGAATTGTTTATATACAGACTTCCTATAATTAAGCTTTATTGATTTCTAAGAGAGCTCATACGAATGTTGTTGAAACTATTTAAAACGATGACGGAATAAATAGATAAATANAATGTAATGAATTTATGATCACCAAAATTTACGTTCTACACCGTTATGTATACCGTTTTCCGCTGAATAGACAGCGGACAAGTTATTCTTTTACGAAAAGAATTGTTTATATACAGACTTCCTATAATTAAGCTTTATTGATTTCTAAGAGAGCTCATACGAATGTTGTTGAAACTATTTAAAACGATGACGGAATAAATAGATAAATATAACATTAGTGAAATATTAAGTTTATTCAAGTGTCTCTTACTAATAAACATATCTAGGAATGCTGTATTTCACAAGGACCGAAACAAAGTGATAACTTAGAAGTACTATACATTTTGTATGCTTTTTTTTAATGATGGTCTTGTGAAATGACAGCCTTTGTATTAGTCTAATTTCGCTCGCAAGTATAAATTTACTTTTCAATGCGGATAGAATTAAAAATAAGTAAACATTTTGATAGAGGTTGAGTATATGTCGCCAGTTTTGTAACGTATGGATCTAGATAAAGTATTTATTGTAACAATTAAAATAATGGCGTTATAGGTGACCTACATACATGTCAAATTAACAAAAAATTAAAAGGTCAATAGTGGGTCAAAATCAACATTAAATATTGACATTTTCGACACAGCAATCAAACCAAGATGGTAAAAAAACAACTTGTTGACTTGAATATAATTCCTTTGTAATGAATGGTCTGTCCTGTTTATACTTGCGAGAATCAAAATCGGAGCCTTAAATACAAATAAGCAATAATGAGGTGCGTATTCGTGCTTAAAATATATCGATATTTCTAATTTTATTGTGTGTTTATTAAAAATGTATGGAGTTCTGAGATGTTCGATCTATTTACAAATTGTTAAAGCCGATTTTTTATTCATTAAGACGGTTTAATAAATTTATTATATTATGCATGCCTATAAATAAACGAATGTTTAGGGACTGGTGAACATAAATTTTAATGAAGTGAAAAAAACAACTTTTTTACTTTTATTGTTCTTTGTCTTTTTCATTTTCTCAGTTTTTTTTTTTAATAGTCATATATCGTCCTTTATGATATATGACTATACGTATTTCAACTATCTTCACTGCCAATATACATACACGTATTTACAAGAAATAATTTTATTTGTTTGTGTAATTAAATCACTTTTTTAAGTTCATTAGCCGTTGTTATAGTCTCGGGACCCAGCTTGTACTCCACTTAATATTGTGTTTGTATGTGATTATGAAACCATTGAATATTTTCGTGCGACCAAAAAGAGAAACGAACTGTTAAGATGTTTCCGTTTTTTTTGTTGTTGCTGTAAAAATAAAACTTAAAAATATATTTAGACGAATAAAACTCGCGTCATTAAATGATTTAATATATTTCTAAGTACCTAATTAGGGGGGACCGGAGTGTCTATTGTAAGTTGAACAAAATGTCCAAGATTTTGTAAATATTTTTTTATTAAATATAGGTGAAGTATTTGTAATATGATGTGCCTCATATGTTACCGTTACGACAACAAATATTTAGGTGTTCTTTGATATATTGAGATATGTATTTTTATGAAGAGTAATAAAAATTTATGCATTGTAATTTAGCTATTAGTAAAGAGGATTTCTAATATAATTTTGTTAAGATAATTGTGTATAAATTTAAAAAGTCTGTCACTTACATCACGTTTGTAGCACAGACAAATTTAAAATGTATTTGAGATCATATTTAATAATAAAGCAATTGATGAAAATCCACACTGAATATTTTTAAATCGAAATCTTTCTAATAATGTTTCGAACGAAACAAAATCTGTATACTATGTATGTTATTTTCAACTCGCACTCATCATGAGCTTATCAAAATGAACCAGTGGCTAAACTACTTAGCATAACGTATGGCAATTGTCTATGTCTTCGCTGTTGAATAAATAAATAAAATTTATCATTTAATATTGGTGTAAGTGATGGTGGTTATGTTTATAAAAACTGCTCTAGCAAAATTTTGTAAGCAAAAGGGTATATTTAATTGCCTTGAATAAAACCATATAGATTTGTTATGGCGAATGCTGACTAGATCGATGCTAAAGTTTAATTATATACATAACTGAAGATAAAAGGAATATAATGTAGATTTTATTTTTTGATTTAAATAAAGTTTGTATAAAAATGTTTTGTTTTATTTAAGACTAACTTTTGCCCGCCACTCCGTCCGCGTGGAATAGTTACTTTGGCATAACGCTAAATTTTACCCCCACTTCATTTACGTAGAAAGTGAAAATATTTTGAAACATTCTTTATTGGTGCTCCACTTGTATTGGTCTTACCGTGATGTTATATAGCCTATAGCCTTCATCAATACTGGGCGAACACTGAAAGAACTTTAGAAGAAAGAAGAAAAGAAGAAATCGGACCAGTAGTTCCTGAGATTAGCGCGTTCAAACAAACAAACTCTTCAGCTTTATAATATTGGTATAGATGAGTGTTTCACTGGAACGTATTTTTTTCTGGAAGATGCTTGCACGCCACCTCTCGCACATAGTTGGTACTGTACCAAAGACAAGGAAATGCATTACTGGCAACATAATATTCATTTAGGAATGTGAGATTAAATTATATCAGTGTAGTTCAAATATTAAGTGTAGTTGGTCAGAAAGCGACTTATGGCCTTATGTTAAGATTAATATAATAATATTATGCATAAATTGATTTTATAGATACATACCTATCTGCAATATATTATATGATATAAACTAATTTTAAAGTTGAAAACATTTAAGTATGACTTGTCTTGATTTAAGATCGATTGAAGATCTTTGATCGGTGGTCGATGTTGTTTTTTTGAAGTTATACTTCTTTAGGCGCGTTATGAAAACTTGATGAGAGTGAAATTTTACGATGCGCGCGCACCGTGACACAAAATTAACAGAATGAAGTTGCCCACTAAATCGCTCATTACAATACGACCGACGTAACTTGGCGAGTCTGAATATAGCCGGAGGTGAACTTTCACGCATGTACACTCGTAAAAAAAAGTGTTATTAGCATTCATTTTTTAGTAATATAAATGACAAAATTATTATTTAATATAATTCATACTAAATATTATTAAATTATTAACGTTAAATATTTATTAGTAATCATTTGATATCTAAAAAAAAAATAAAAAAAAATTAAGTATAACTTCTTACGCGCGTACATAAGTACACGCACCTTTTTTTTATTTACTCCTTAGATCACTGGACGAGCTCACAGCTACCCGGTGTTAAGTGGTAACGTAAATGCGCCACCCACCTTGAGACATAAGTTCTAAGGTCTCATGTATAGTTACGACGGCTGCCCCGTTCGTCAAGATGCAGTATAGCCCACTGAGTTTCTCGCCGGATCTTCTCAGTGGGTCGCGTTTCCGATCCGGTGGTAGATTCTGCGAAACACTGCTCTTGCTAGGACTAGTCTTAGCAACGCCTCCAAGTTAAAGGCCCGAGAGCTCACCTACTCGCTTGGTTATGCTGGCGTAGCCTCTCAAGGCTATCAGCTTAGGAAAAAAAAAGCAGTAATGCGTTTTATGATAATATATTCTGATTTCTGTTAAGTTGTACGTATTGAAAAAGGGCAATTTGTATTTTTTCTGTTAATTTTTCTCAGCGATAAATAGAATCCCTAATTGGCAGTAAAATCATGATGTAAGTGCCTGTAAGGTCTATAATATTAAACATTTTGTTTTGACTTTGATAGTGTGTAACGTGCTGTGATTTCGAGTTAAGGTGTTATTTTTTAAATCATTAAAACAGGATCAGATTTATTCGTAAGCACTTGAGGAGGATTTCACGTTAGCTTTTTCTTGTAGATTTTAGATAGATCTCTTTCTTGCAACCCGGTTTTCCAAAGAGTCTCCCTCAAAAGCAATGGGTTCTTTGGTGTACTTAATAAGAGATATTCAATATTGGAGTCATTTTAAACAGAATTAAGAAAGCCGGAAGAACCCGGCCGATCACGAAGAAGTCTGAATTAAAGAACATAAAAAGCGAACTCAAGTCGAAACACCCCGCAAGGCATTTTGAAAAGAAAGTTTTCAGTTGATACTGCTGCTGATAGGCTGCTGGTTACTTAATGTTTATAATATTTTAAAAGTTATAAACACAATTGGTAAATATTAATAGGACTATGCAGAAAATAACTATTTAACTAATGAGAATTGGGACAAAAATGCTATAGAACGTTTTCCTATTAATGTTTGACGTAACTGTTATGTAGTGTACAATGTAGGTATGATTACGCGATGTCCACACGCCTCGTGGCCGTTGAATGCGGAAGCAACCGGAGGAGATGCATCGTTCCGTATTATTATCATGAATGGCTTTACCCGCCCCTATTTTTACCCTCGTCCGTTTGTAACCAGCTGCTCCTGTTCGCTTTCCTATTTCAATCGGTCAGGTTATAGTTTGGGCGAGCACTCTAGCGTCCTGCCTGCCGGTCTCCCAACCCAACTAACTAGTCAGTTGTAAGCGACGCACGATCTGTGCCACATCGCAGTGTTTTATTTTCACTATGTGACTGTTTAATATTGTTAAAATTGAGTAGTGAATTTAAACAAACAAATCAAATAAGTAAATATCTGTGCATACATTTTTTAATTAAAAATATGGCGTATTTTACAATAAAACGCGGGAAATGTCATGCGACAGTGCTGTGTTTTGTATTATTGATCGTGTTGTGAACGTGCACTTATTTACACTATGTAGCTTTATGCAGTTGTTTACGTTTATTCATAGTATTCTACTCTGATATCAACGTTTCACTTCGGACGGATGCTATTATTAGAAAGGGGTTCGAACTTCGAAGTTATCGATTGGACGCGAGACGAAAGTTAATGGCTCACAAGTTGTTGGCCATTATTTTATACGGAAAGAACGCTAGTTTCGAGACAGTAATAGAATATATCGCTCTGCACTATATCGATTCACGATAAATAAAGGGGACAAAGGGAACAGCTGCGTGCTGTGGCCAACGCGTAATTTCA